TGAAATGGCAAAGAAAACAAGGGGTAAACTAGTGTTTCCCAACCTTAGCAACTTTAAGCTATGTGGGCTTCAACTCCCTGCATTGCTGGCTGGAGAATTCTGGGAGTTGAAGTCCACATATGCTAAGACTGGGAACGCTGGGTTAGGAGTTTCAAGCTACTGGGCAATAGGTGCTGATTAAATGGGATAGAAAACTGAATTTATAAGAATAGGGCAGCACTGAGGTATCTTCCAAGTGGATGTGCATCTCTAAGACAGGATTCAACCAAGCTAGGTTTGGGTAAATGGCATAGGGCCTCTTGAGTTTTTTTAACAAGATGATAAGAAGAGGCTTTTAATTGCCTGATGTGTACCCTCCCAGATACAGGTAAACTGCACAAATGTTTCTGTAGAGTTCCCTCATCTAAAAAGCATGTGCAGCGGCCCCTGGTGTCCATAGCATAGAAGTATTCCCAGCCAGCAAATTTTATTTTTTTTATTTATTAGATTTTTATCCTTTATTACTTTATAACATTTTTCTAAACTCCACTTTTGAAGCCCACTCCGTCACAGCCATTGCATAAATGCCTCTGCTCGAGTGGGATTCATTAAAATATTCAGGGATTAACATTAACAAGATTTTTTTTTAGTCAGTAGGCAATCTGACATGGCAGTAAGACTTCTGAATCCTCCCTGAGAAATGCATAAAAAGCATTAGCAACTATATTTATTTATACCCTTTACCAAGGATTTGGTGCCTGGCTCTTATCAAAGAATTGCAAAATGTAAGGGTCAAAAAGGAACCTGGAGTTCATCTTGTATAAAACAATATAAATCACTAGTGAGGAAATATGGTGAAAACTTCCAGGGAAAGGAACCCCACTATCCTTCAAAACAGATTGTTCCACTATCAAGTACAGGTAGTCCTAGAGTTATTACCACAACTGAGCTCAAAATTTCCATTGCTGAGCAAGTTTTGCCCAATTTTATGAACTTTCTTGCCACAGTTGTTAAGTGAATTGCTGCAGTTGTTAAGTGAATCGTTTGTTCATTAAGCAAATCTGGCTTCCCCTATTGACTTTTCTTGTCAGAAGCCAGCTGGAAAGGTTACAAATGGTGGTCACATGACCCTGGGACAGTGCAACTGTCATAAATACATGCCAGTTGCCAAGTGTCTGAACTTTGACCACGTGACCATGGGGATGCTGCAACAGTCGTAGATGTAAGAAAACCAGTCATAAGTCCCTTTTTTTTAGTGTCATTGTAACTTTGAACAGTCACTAAATGAATAGTTGTAAGTTGAGGACTATTTGTAGTTCACTTCATAAGCTGTTGTTTAGCCAAATTTAATTTCCTTTAGAATGCTTGCGCAAATGGAATTGGTTGGTTTTGTACCAAGCAACATATAAAGCCCAGCTATGGGAATAAATCCCCTGCAGAAGGGGATAAATAAGGCTTAATGAGGTTTGCCATTCTCTTTCTTTCCCTGCAAATCTGCTGACTAGGACAGATGGTGTTAATATGCTTGTGTTACGTACAAGAGATTCAGCTGCACCTCCCTCCCCATTCCCCCAGGGGATGGAAGGCGGAGGGAAGAAGTCTGAGATTCATCCTCTCCTTTCAGATCTTGTTTCACAATGACATAGTCAGATATACCAATCCCAAAGCAGAATGTGAATGACTGATTCACCCCAGGACAGGTTGAGACATCACAGAATTATGGTTTGGATATATACCCATATATAGAAACTTAATCTATGGTCTGAGTTTGGGTGTCTCCAAGGCATTATTATTTATGGTTTAGTGTGTTTTGCAAATAAGATCCATATAGATATGAACCGCTCTTGACGTGAAGCAGGAAGCAGGATCAATCAAATCATAAATTGCCTTGAAGTTAAAGTAAACATGGATGGGTGTATGCATGCCAGGTTGCGCATGAGTGAAAAGAGGGTGCATCCGATTAGATTCATAAGGCAAAGAGGAGGGAATTTTTCCAGATGGCTCCTGCACAGACCTGAACATGAACGTGCCTGTTTGGTTGTGTGGCTGCAAGACAGGAGAGACAAGGACTCTCTTGCCTGGATTTGAAATCAGAAAAGGAGGAGACTGGGGAAGGGGAGGGGAAGGAGCTGAGAAAATCTCCAGGTATGTTTGGAGATTAGCACAAAGGCGAGAAACTACTCTACCACTGAGCCAGGCTGAAGCTGAGGGAGAAAAACTGTGAGTGTCTTAAAAGGCCATTCTAGATTTTCCCAGTGGACAAGACTCAATACCTGGCATGGGTCCATGACGTCGGTAATCATAGGAATACTTAATTCCACTTCTACAACACTGGTAAGTGCATATCTCTCCTTGAACATGTAGGTGTTTATGCTCTTTATCAACTCTGAACTGCAGGGAGGGCTTGAAATTGTGTCCTCGCAGTTTGTCCAGAGTCTGGAAGTGAATTTGTAGCTGTCATGTTTTAAGGTGTTTGCTTTCTGCTGCAAAACTGAATTTTGGAAATAGGGTAAGTAATGCAATTTGCTATAAATGGGGTGTTGATGCATGGAGGACCTTGAAGGGATCCAGGTGACAATCTGGAGTGGCAGGTACTTCTAGTACAGACTGATTCTCATGAATGTTTGACCCAAATCCTCCACAATAACTCTGGGCATGGTTGCTCCATCTCATGAAATTCTGTAAGTGGGATACTTAGATGTGGTAGAAGCTATCTCAATACAATATCTTTATTGCTAATACAATATCTCAATACAATATCTTTATTGCTAAAGGGTAAATAAGCATGGCTGGCAATCAAAACAAAAGACAACAAAACTAAAACAAAACAAGCAGTGACATTTCAGAAGAACCATATTTAGCCTTCTTTCTCTGGACTTCATTTTGTTATTTCCTTTGGAAGGAGGTCATCAAAGGCTTGCAGTGCTTAATCACGTGTTCATTTGTTACAAATATACAAGTTGGATTTGAATGGAGGCAGAAGAATTCTGGGAGTTGAAATCCACACATCTTAAAGTGGCCAAGTTTAAAAAACATTGCTCTAAGTCATTCACTAGGCTAGTTGGGGATATTGGAGCTTGTGGCCCATTTATCAGAAAGGACTACATTGGGGGAATATGCTACCTATGTCAATATCATAGCCACCCCATCTTTTCTTTAATTTGTGTGTGTGTGTGAGGGAGGGAAGGGGACTATGTACAGAACGCCTGACAGATGGTGAGATTCCTAAAGTTTTCTGTTGAGTCATTTTGCTTCCATCTCTCTAAATCTCACACTTCGAATGCAATTTAGCAGCCAGTCAGACCAGGCTGTGTGCAAACAAGTAACCAAAGATTCTCATGATTATGTCAGTTACTATGCCTTCAGTGCACATTTCTTATAGGGTAGGTTGGTTGAAAGAGTGCTTAGGTAAGCTTTTGCAAGATGTTGGCGAAGCAATTAGGCAAGATGTTGAAGAATGTTATATAAAAAGTGCCTTTTGTAAGGTGAGGATTGCTAGCTTTTCCCCCTATTCCAGGACTTTCTTTTAAGAAACTCTTATTATACTAAATACCAGCCTTCAGTTTCATTTGAGCCCAGTGGGCATATGCACACTTTTCCCCCTAGGCTACACAATGTCTCCCTAGTCAAAAATATCTCAACAGAATAAGTTTATGTTTATCAAAATGGCTAAGATTTCCCCAGGCACCAGACAGAAATCAAGTGTGAGTTATGTTATTTATTTCAATTTATTCGCTGCCCAAGTCCAGTGGACTCTGGGCAGTGTGCAAAACTAGGAAAGTTAAAAACTGTTAAAAGTGTTCAATTTCAGAGACAGCCCAAACTAAAACTAATGAATGCAAAAACAAACAAAAATGACCATCTTAAATAGCTCGTAAACATCACCCCAGACCTGGGATCAAAGCCTGGTTTTCAAAGCTTTCCAGAAGCCTAGGAGTGAGGGTATCATTTTTATCTCTGGGGGTGGGGTGGGGAATGCTGTCCCAGAAGTTGGGGGCCACAACAGAGAAGGTGTGCTTCCTTGGTCCCACAAGAAGTTCATGTTTAATAGAGGGAACCTGAAGCAGACCCATTTAATTAATAGAATAGGATAGGATAGGATAGGATACGATAGGATAGGTTAGGATAGGATAGGATAGGATAGGTTAAGATAATACTGGGTGGGCAGGTATTACTGGAGATAAACAGTCTCTCAGCTATCCAACCCTATGCCATGCACAACCTTTATAGGCAATCAGCACCTTGAATTGCTCCCAGAAGTTGCCTGATAGCAAATGCAACTCATGTAGCAGTGGGTAACACATGCGCACATTGAGATGCTCCTGTTACTGCTTGTACCGTCGCATTTCGAGCCAGCTATAGTGTCTGGATGGTCTTCAAGGAAAGCTCCCTCTACAACACATTGCAGTAATCCACTTATGAGATGACCAGAGCATGAATGATTGTCTGGAGCAGTGTTTCTCAACCTTGACAATTGTAAGGCATGTGGACTTCAACTCCCAGAATTCCACAGCCAGCAATGCTAGCTGTGGAATTCTGGGAGTTGAAGTCCACATGCCTTAAAATTGTCAAGGTTGAGAAAGAGGGTCTGTTTATTGAGGAAAGGTGCAACTGGTGCACATGATGAACCTGTGCAAAGACCCTCGAGGGCCTTATGTTACCTTACATAACCTGAGATAAAACATGCAAAAGGGCAGGGGAAAACGTAGCCCTTGCTGAACAAGAAGTAAAACAGGAAGAGGTTGTAACCCTGCAGAACCTGGCCCTAAACCTCTCCCATTTTAACGTCAATATGTTATGTTGGATTGTTGATCTTGCTTTACAGAAAAGAAGGCTGGTTATGGGATTCCGGTTTTTGGAAAGAAGAGTGACTTTTGAGCTCTGTTGATGACAAGCCTTTATATTAACTCACCAGCTGGCAGCCTTTTGCACTATGAGCCAAACACAAAACTACTTGTAATGTATATCAGAGGACTCCAGGATCCTTTCCTTAAAACGATTTCTCTGCTTTGTCAACAGTATATTGTCCACCTGCTTCACGACCTTGTGCGCTTGTCTCCTTCAGCTCATGATCCCGATGGAGAGCAACGCTAAGAGGGGATTGGGAGACTTGAACGTCATGGAGGAATCACAGGCAGAGCCTGCAGGCTTAGAGAAGGTGAGCCATCCCCTTCCTGGAGATTAACTACTGTAAGCACTTTGGACTCTGCTCCTTTTCTTCCTCTGGCTCAAGCAGTCTGCAATAATCTGCAGGACAAGAAGCAACGGGTGGAAACTAATCAAGGAGAGAAGCAACCTAGAACTAAGGAGAAACTTCCTGACAGTTAGAACAATTAACCAGTGGAACAACCTGCCTCCAGAGGCGGAGAATGCTCCAACACTGGAGGTTTTTAAGAAGAGACTGGACAGCCATTTGTCCGAAATGGTATAGGGTTTCCTGCCTGAGCAGGGGGTTGGACTAGATGACCTCCAAGGTCCCTTCCAACTTATTATTATTATTATTATTATTATTATTATTATTATTATTATTATTATTATTATTATTATTATTATTATTATTATTATTATTACTAAATGTTTCATCCTTATGCAGAGTGCAGATTCTGTAACTTTTATGTTCTACAGCAAAACAATGGCAAACTATTTAAATTAGATTTATTCTTGCCAAAATGTGCTTATCCATTAATCCAGTTCTAAGACTGTCTTAAATTATACATAGTACAGTGCCGTACAGTGCTTTGCAGTCAGTCTCCAAAAAAATGCTTTTAAGCATGCAGGAGTGTGAACATAGCATATCTTGCAACAAACCAACTGCTTCTGCAAGTTCTGAGGCACCATTTGGAGAATTAATCCAAAGCACCGCAGAAGCCCTTAATCGGAATAAGCACTAATGGAGGTGCCCTCAGACCAATAATAGAAAAGAAACTGCTTCATGTCAGGCAAAACTAAACCACCTGGCATTGTATTGCAGGGCTTCTGATGGAAAAGGATCTTCTCCACCCACTTTGTCAACTGAATATCTCTGACTGAAAATGACACTTGTTGAATCTGATCCATTCTATACACAGAACAGGCACTGTGTTACTAAACCATGGATTCCTTCTAAGCTCTTCAATTATTTCTACTAATTAATAATGAATAATAATTTTTGTAACTCCATTCTCCATCAAGGGGCAGAAAGAAAACCTGTGGAAATATTACAACTGAATGGAATATGCTGGTATTGGCCAGAGACTTTTGTTAGTTTAGACTTTACATTATATTGATTGTATTCTTTATTGTTTAGGTTTTGATTGATTATACAGTACTGTGAAATCTGCTGAATCTAGAAGATTTCTTAACAATGGCTTGGTCACAAATGTGTCCTTTTTTGAGCAAAACTGGTGGAAGGCAATAGTGGGTGAACACTAGGCAGTATTAGATAAATTGCAAGCTTTGTTTTGTAACCGGTTATGGCATGAAAACAACCTTGATCAACCTGATAGAGGACTTTGGTTTAAAGATAGCAAGAATGTCTTTGATTTCCCAGTTGTAGCTTTGATGTTATCAATCTTGGTAACTAGCCAAACTAGTTTAGGAGATTGAAGTCCAGAGCAATAAGGTTTTCCTCTCTTAACCTGAAGAATGAATGCATTTTAGAAAGTAACAGTAAGGATGGGAAATCTGAGCTTGGAGTGCCATCTTCTCCCTGCTCCCCCCTCTCTATTACCTCTAAGTGGTCAAGTGCTCCAATGAGTAGGTAATTACTGGGATCAAGATAGGATTGTTCAACCAGTTCTGGATTGCTATTCTCCCCAAAGGAGAGTATTCAGTTTGAGAATGTTTGTTGAACCAATATTTTCAGACATCTTAATGACATCAGTCAGTCAGTCAGTCTGTCTGTCTGTCTGTCTGTCTGTCTGTCTGTCTGTCTGTCTGTCTGTATGTCTGTCTGTCTGTCTGTCTGTCTGTCTGTCTGTATGTATGTATGAATGTATGTATGTATGTATTTCTCACATTCTTATGGCTGTCCATCTCACAAAAAGTGATTCTGGGTGGCATTAGCCAAAGGTTTTGGAGCAGAAGTAACCTAGTCACAATTACTATGTTCTGGTAACTTCCAGGAGAGATTACTGATATCATTCTCCAGAACTATCTGGAAGCTTCAGTTAGTGTAGAATTTGGCGGGGGGGGGGGGAATTCCTGGAGCTCTTAGGGGATGATACTTCAGTTTAAAATATTTCCATACAACAACCTGCCTCCAGAAGTGGTGAATGCTCCAACACTGGAAATTTTTAAGAAGAGACTGGACAGCCATTTGTCTGAAATGGTATAGGGTTTCCTGCCTGAGCAGGGGGTTGGACTAGATGACCTCCAAGGTCCCTTCCAACTTTATTATTATTATTATTATTATTATTAGTAGTAGTAGTAGTAGTAGTACCAACTCAAAGCATTTATTTGCCTAACCCCTCATTTTATTGGATTAATTTAACTCTTACACTGGGTTCTTCAACATACTTAATCAAATTAGCTAAACTTAGTAGGACAAGTCTTAAGCACTTTTTTCAAGGCCATTGCAACTTTGAACCGCTGTTAAAAGAATAAGTCGAGGACTATCTGCATAGAGAGTACCTTCCCTTAAGCACTTAGAACAGAGGGTTAAAAGTGTTATCCCATAGAATAACATCTTGCTACTTAATATTCCAGTAATCATAGTGTTTTACCTGTCTTCTGTGGTCTATATAACTTGACATTAGGCTGTACAGTATAGTAAACTACTTCTTTGGAGGAATATTGTGGTTCCAGTGTAGAATATCGCCTTCTTATTGTGTAGGAGGGTGGGGTGCAATTCATTACTTTTTCTGTATTTGCTTTTGTTCTTAAGCATATATTGCCTTGAGAACCTTCCACTGAAGTCCAGTTTGCAAATGTACTGGATAAATAGGAAAAAAAATGTCCTGTTTGTTTAACAAATGTAGCTTTATTCAGGTATTTCAGTTACTGGCACAGAATTAAGAAAGGAATGTGAGAGATTCAAAAGGCAAAACTTCATTTCATTACAAATAGTTCTCATCTTATGACAATTGGAGCCAGAATTTCTGTAGCTGAGCAAGTCAGGTGTTAAGTGAGTCACTCTCAATTTTATGATCTTTTTTGCCATGGCTGTTAAGTGGATCATTGCTTTTGTTAAGTGAAACACATGGTCATATCAAATCTGGATTTCCCTGCTTGTCAGAAGCTAGCTGAGGTTGCAAATGGCCATCACATGACCCCAGGACTGCAACTGCCATAAATAAATGCCAGTTGCCTAGTGTCTGATTTTCGATTGCATGACTGTGAGGATGCTGTGACGGTCATCAGTGCAAGGACCAGTTGTAAGTGACTATTTTCAGTGCCATTGTAACTATGAGTGGTTGTGACAGGAATGGTTCTAAGTCGAGGACTACCTGCATGCTGTTGAGAGTTGATGTGGTGTGCAGAAAGTAAAAGAAACCAATTAAAAGATCAGCTTGCCACCTTACAGGGTTCAAAGGATGAGGAAGCAAGACGCCCGGTGGCACAGTGGACAGCAGCCGAAGTGTGTGCCTGGCTAAGAGGAAAAACCTTGGGAACTCCAGGCAGTCCACTGCTGGAGGCAGCCAATAGCCATGCCATCTCTGGCAAGGCTCTCTTGCGCCTCTCCGAGGAAACCCTGGAGCGCATGGGGATCATGCCGAAGAGCCTGCGGGAGGAGCTGTTGCAGGAGATCCTCCTGCTGCGCATTCAGCAAGAAATGGAAGATTTGCTGGGCATTTCAGATGGTGAGTGATGGTATCTGCTTAGAGCTATCTTCACTAGAGGACTATGTTGTACTGGCATTGGGTGGAATCAGAATTTGAGGAGAAAAGGAGGTGGAAGACAGGATATGATTGTAATCTCTCTATAGAGCAGGAGGGTAAAACTGCCGGCCCGCGGGCCAGATGCGTCACAAGGAAACCACGCCCACCCCATTGCCGGCAATGTGGAAAAAGCTCCGATACGTTGCGCGACGTCATGTGACGTCGCAAGTTTGGCCTGTTTGCTATAGCGCATGCACAACACACCTGCCCATTCTTCTTGCATGTGTGCTTCATGCTTAAATGTCTGTGTCATGAACAGTCAACAGTCCCAAGAATACACTAACATTTCTGGCAGTCTCAACTGTTCTGCGAAGTTGCTAATCTTGCCCCCTAGCACAATACAAGCAGTCCTTGACTTACAACAGTTCATTTAGTGACCGTTCAAAGTTATAACGGCACTGAAAAAAACTGACTTATGACCGTTTTTCAGAGTTATGACCTTTGCAGCATCCCAATCATCGTGTGAGCAAAATTCAGATGCTTGGCAGCTGGTTCATACTTGTGACTGTTGCAGCATCCCGGGGTCATGTGATCAACTTTTGCAAATTTCTGACAAGCAAAGTCAATGGGGAAGCCATTGATTCACTTAACAATCAGATTCCTAACTTATCAACTACAGTGATAGGTTGTGGCAAGAAATGTCATAAAATGGGGCAAAACTCACTTAACAAATTCTCACTTAACAACAGAAATGTTGGGTTCAATTATGGTCGTAAGTTGAGGACTACCTGTATTGTCTATATTAACTGGCAGCAGGTTTTCAACTAAAGTCTCTACCTGGAAAGATTAAAGATAAAATCTGGGACTTTCTTATGCAGGAGAGAGATACTACAACTGAATTATGTCTTTATCTTCATCTTGACAATACTAAATAATCTGCCAAGAGTAGCAATGGAATTGGGGAAATGTGTTTTGCAATGAGGATGAGGCCCATGTAGTCAAGGTTTAGAACTCATTTTTTTTCATGCTGTTGATCAGCAACTTTTTCATCAGCTGACAAAACAAACCTTGTATTAATTCAACTATTGCACAAATGGTCTATTGTCTTAACATGTTGTATGAGCCAGGCCATCACATTATTTGTTTGGAGGCAACAGAGGCATTTTGTTAACTAAAACTTAGGTTTAATTGCATTGCATGAATCAATGTTAAGAGTCAAACCAAGGATAATCCAATTCCTATTTCAGCATTTTAGCCACTTTATTACATCAACATATGCAACAGCATGTGTTCAGATATACGGTTAGATCAGTGTTTCTCAACCTTGGCCACTTGAAGACGTCTGGACTTCAACTCCCAGAATTCCCCAGCCAGCCCTGCTGGCTGGGGAATTCTGGGAGTTGAAGTCCAGATGTCTTCAAGTGGCCAAGGTTGAGAAGCACTGGGTTAGATGCTTTTCAGTTGTTGCCACTGTCTGGCATCAGTTTCTTTGATAGATCATTTCTGCCTCTCCTTCTCTCACACAGAATAATCCAGGAAGTCCAGCAGTTTAAAATTACAACCGTCTGAAAATCAGCCATCTTGAAGCATCCTTTAGAATTAGTTATTGGTGTCAGCTGTGCCTCCAGTTGGATTGCGGGTTCATGAATTGGAGAATGAAAATCAGTCATTTGAGACTCGGACTCAATTCTTCATGTCCAGTGCAAGTTCTTTTGTAGAAAAGTATGGACTTCGAAAAGGAGGCTGTTCTGTTATTATTACCCCACATGGAAAGACCTGCTGATAGCTGTTGAAAATGTACTTCAACACTGGGCTATTCTGCAACAGTGAAGGGGGGAATTAAATCTTTGGAGAGCATTCAAGGTTTCCAAGTCATCTTAAGAATAAACCTATTCACATCATATAATATCAGAGACAGACAATCTGGTGCCTGCTAGATATTTTGGGCAACTCCCCAGTGGCTTGACTGTTCCATGTCTAGGCCTGATGGGAACTGAAATCCAAAACATCTACAGCAGGGGTGTCAAACTCAATTTCATTGAGGGCCGCATCAGCATTGTGGTTGCCCTCGGGGGGGGCGGGGGTGTGTGGCCAGGGTGGGTACGGCCTACTGGGTGGGCGTGGATGGAGTGGGTGTGGCCTACTGGGTGGGCGTGGCCAGCTCTACATCATTCGCGTCAAGGGTGACTGTGGGGGCCTGGGCAGGAGTGGGACAGATCTGAGGGTCTCTGGCAGAAAGGGGTGAGACCAGGGCAGAGCCCATCAAGCTCTGTGAAGTAGGCGAGGGCCATTTGCTGGCCACTTCCAGGTGATGGTGCATTTCTTCATTCCTCACAAAGGGTGACACCTCCCCAGCATGCACCGAGGGGGTGGGGCCGATGCGGCAGGGGCTGGTTCCTCGCTGTTTCCAGGCCTTGTGGAGCTAAGACTGAATGCATTTCAGCATAGATGGCCACCACAAAATTGTACATTGGCTCCTGGCCGGCCTGGACCAGGGCCAAGGCAGCGGGGGCCATTCCCTCACTGTTTCCAGGATGGCTTCGCGGGCCATATGAAACCACTTCGCGGGCTGCATCCAGCCCCCGGGCCTCGTGTTTGACATGTCTGATCTACAGAGAATCAGGCTTCCTATTCATTAGACCAGGGCAATGCTCTGGATTCAGGCAACCACAGCATTTGTACTTGCTGTTTAATCCTTGTCTCTTTTCAGACAAATGTGGACAATTTCTATCATTGTCAGGATAGGCATTGTTTTTCCCTGCTCCAAGTTCAAATTCTCTGTTCCAAATAAATTGGACAACCATCTGTCTGGCATCGTCTAAAGACTCCTGCCTTGGATAGAAGGTTGGACTAGAAGACCTCCAAGGTCTTTCCAGCTGCATGATTCTATGATTCTGTGAAATTCCTTTCTATTCCTTGCCTCTTGAAAGCCAAAAGGGAAAGCCCTCCCTTCCACCTTTCCTGGCAACCTTGGGAAAGAACTTGTAGCTTCCTAATTAGGAGAAAAAGTATTATATAAGCATTGTTTGAACTTCCACACATTTTAATACTTTTGCTATTTGTTGTATTGATGTGTTATTTTATTTCTAGAATACTCTGATAACAAATACTGATTGGCAGATAGATTTTTGTTTTTAAGACCAACATTTTGCAAATAAAATCATGCACATTTAATGCCAACACAAAAGAGACAGCATTAATAATCTTACTTCTTGGATCTCTGAGTTATATCTGTCCTGGCCCAGGAAGACTCTGTTATGACCATCTTGTGTCTAGCACTTGTTTTGAGCAGACACAACTCAGTATTGATCAATGACAGCCCTCCAATACTTTCATTTCCGGAATAAAACAAGCACCCAAGAGATGAGATATTAAAAAGCTTGGAAAAATTTATTGAAGTTTTATGTCATAATAGGCTTTTGAAGTTTTTAAATACAATAAATATTTATCAGTAATAATAGTATTTAATGGATCAGAATTCAAATCCATTGCCAGACTGTCAACCGTCCACAATACACAAGACAGACATGAATCTTGATGAAGGATGACACACTGTGGAGCAATCCACAATGACATTATATAGTTTCTTACTGAAAGTTCTTTTACACTAACAACAATAGTAATCTGTACAGTCAGTTTTGCTTTGACACAGCTTGTACTGCCCAGAATCTGCTGGACCGAATGCTTCAAAGAATACAAGCCAGAAGTTTCCTTGTCCAAGAAGAGTAGGAAACAGTTCCTGGCAGTCAGCACCTATGAAGACCAAGGCACACACCCTCTTCCCCAAAAGAGACCCAGTTATCATTTTCCCCTTCTGGAGAAAAAAAATCAGGAGAAAGTAAAGCTATCTCTTACAAGTTCTGACCCCCTCCCCAGGTATGGTATCTTACAAAGAACTGATGATTTGATATTTTACTTGACAGCCAAGTTCACAGAGTTAATCAAAAAGCAAGGAAAACCAACTGGTCCAATATTTATGTTTGTTTCATTCTCGTTTCCAGACAAAACCTACTCTGAAAAGGGCACTTATCTTGCCTGTATTCCAGAGTCAATTTAAATGTGGAGAACGGATTCCTATCTATTCTCGCTCTCTTTTAAACTGAGAAATCAGTTCAATGAGTATTGATTGGAGAGATCTGGAATACCATTATTATTAAGCTTTACATCCTAGGATTACATTTCAAGCAAAAATGGCACTGGGTGGGGTGGGATGGGGGACACCGTGGCCTCCTTCTTCATTGAACCTGTAGGTAGATGTCAGTCTCCATGAAATATTTTTATCCAACATACTCTTTCCTGAAATCATGGTGGAGAATAGTCAACTATCTATGTAAGGTTTAAACACCTGAATGATCTACTACTGCAAGTCAAAATGAACATAGCCCCAAAGCGTATTTTTTATTGGACTTAACACCAACCACAAATCATCAGGGTTCTAGCTAGTTAGCATTCCATAGATTTTCTTGCAGTTCATACTCAGTTCTGAACTGTTGTATTCTGAGGACTATACAAGTGGTTTATGGGCCCAGCCCAGTGTTGTCTTACAATATCTGCTTCTCTATACAACCCACTTTTGGATTAAGCTTTGTTAGCAAAAGCTGAATCTTGCAGGACTGTGGAGGGACTGGAAAAGAGTTACGTGGCATCAGGCCCCTAGAGCCCAGGAATCATCCTCTACATCTCTGAGGTTTGCTTCAAGGGCCAAAGCACAGATACCTAGACAATAGTCAATCAAGGCAGAACAGACATCTGTTTTGGAACATAAAATGGAATTGTTATTTGAAATGGCAACAAAGGATGCAAGGGAATGGCACACTACTGAAGAACTGGTTACAACTGCTCCCATCACATTCTATGCCAGTGTTTCTCAACCTTGGCAAGTTTCAGAGGGGAGGACTTCAACTCCCAGAATTCACCCAGCCAGGTGCATTTGACTCCCACCGAACTTGTAATCAGTTTTAAATCAGTAATAAAGAAAAATACACAAACCTATTTTCCTGTTTTCCTTTTTAAAGGTGCTATCCTTTAACTTGGACAACACTTAAAGAATGTTTTTTTTTTAAGACAGCTGACTTTCCCCTCAACTTGAGGAGAGTCATTTAAGGCACCAAATTCCTTATTGAGAAGCCCTGATAGGTAGGAAAGAAGAATCACATTTTTTTTCCAGTGAAGACAGACAGGCAAACCTACCTCATAACATGCCAGCAAGCTCATGCAAAAGCAAATGTTACCTGCAAGCTGCAATGGCACTGCAATGGCATCACAAGTGTAGATGTTCCCATATAATATGCATGCCTCTAGGCAGAATCTAATAGAATGATTTACTAGCTCACATTAAGCCTACATACATATAAGGAACCCTGCTTCCCAAGAATATTGGCTTCTGTGGATAGCCATCACTTTCTGTCTAAAGGATTCTTATGCCACAGTAGCCTGTGCAAAACTATACCATTGATCTGACAACTCTTTGTTTCCAAGACAAACACTATTATCCCAAATTAAGAGACCAAAGACCAAATGTTCCTACAATGATTCATTACTTAACTGTATAAAGACAGATCCCTTCTCTGAACTGACCACCTTCTTAAAAACAGAAAATGGTTCCAAGAGACTATAACTACATGACCTATTTCTTACTGTCCCTTATGACTGACAACTGATTATTTTATTCTAACTATTGCAACATCAAATATTCACACAAGCTCAATTCCTCTTTACACCCAAATTTTAACCCCTGTGCAGTGTTCTGATACAAATAAAAAATCTCCCTAACCCCATTTCAAGTTTTGTTTCATAGCAATGGAATATTAAGTAAACAGAACCAAAATCAGAATTGTTTGCCATCCATGTCTAGAAATTTCTTTTTCCTGCTAACAATGAGAATCAGGGCTTTCCTTGTTCACTGCCATACCAGACATGGCATTTGGGGTAAAACTTGAAAATCAGAAAAATAAAACTATTTACAGAAAAGAAGGGGTAGGAATGAAGGCAAGAATTAGTTCTAGGGCTTCACACTGCGTACACTTTGTTTTTTGACATAATGCTTCGTGTTTACAAAAGAAAAGATAAATAATAATTTCACAACTCAACGTTTTCTGCAGAATGGAATGCATCATCCACAAAAAGAAAATGAAACAAGTGGATCTCCTTATCAAACCATTCATAAAGTTACCTCTGCCATTAATTACATCTGAAAAAAAAAATTCTGCGCTCAGTTTCTTCCGGGTGCAGCCTTTCCAAGAAAATTGGGTTTAGGCTCCACTCTTCATTTAAGCACACCTACACAAACAAAAAAAAATCTTCCTCAAATAAAGTACAAACAGAAGAGAAAAATCAGTGCTGGGTCTTCACCATCACTCAATTGTTCAACAGATTCCCAACCAGGTAATAAACAGAAACAAACTATTTCTAAAATCGAACATGGGGATCAAAATCACTTGCATTTCTTGTTTTCATGAGAGAAAATTCAATTGTACCCAAGAAAAGCAGTGTCACTCGGAGAGTATGTACCACACCTAATAAACAACTCTGGTGCAAGCTTACTTTAACCCATTAAGATGGTAATGTTGTTTATCACAATCTCAATCCTATGATAAACATGAAGGAAGAATGTCTGTTACTGAGTCCTCCCCAATGCTTGAAATTACAGCATTGGCTGTGGCCCCCCTCTCTCTTCACAAGGCACGAGCCACAATTTGGAGGGAGGATAAAAATGGCATTTGGGAAAACATAACTGACTAGTCATGGCTTAATGAAGTTGTGACCTCCGAGCTCTCTAGAAGAATAAATTGTTTCTTTAAATAAAAAGTCCCTCTTTATAACTGGGTCTCTGATTTTAGGATGTGGAACAGTTTGCAATAATGTACTTCAGTTCCCAAGGGTAGTTTCGTGGGCCCCTCGTTCTCAGCATAGTCATGATGACAGTTCTGTGGCAATCTTATAGTTCTAAAGCCATCGTCCATGCCTCTCTGCCTGATGATCTTTCTTTGAAGATTCCATGAGGTCCTCTCCTGATCATGTAGCTTTACTGTCTGCACATTTCTGAAAGGTGGCATGAAGCGGCATGGGAGGAGACATGAACAATAGCCTTCTCTGGTTTCTGGGTCCCACATGTCCTTTGCCCCCAAACCATCCAAAGCGGGTTAAATCTAGTTCCATGGTGATGGTTGAAGTATATTTACACAGGCTACCAAATTTACAGTGCCTCTGAAGACCGCAGGCTGACGTTTTCCTCTGATGATACCTTTTCCATGCCTAGTCAATCAGAGCTGGGCTTTTGTAAAGAAAAGGTTCGGATGTTGAAGTGTTTACTAAGCTGCCTCACCTAAATGGAAAGAGAAGAGAGCAAATGAAGAATGGTGGATAAAATCTGAAAACGAGGCTGGGCATGCAGAAGCTTTCTTTCCTTTGTGCATTCCCCATTCCTTCTCTGGAGCACAACAAGCTTTATGTCAGTCTACCCATCTTCCAGATAAAATCCATTTTCTATTTGCATTATTTCAAGACAAACAAGAACTGGGAAGAGTATTCTAGATAAATAGGCGATGCTACTTTACAATAGGTCTGAAGGATGTGTTGCAGTGGGATGTTCAAAAGTCGTGGTTAGAGCGTTGATCTTTAAGCAAGCTCCTGTGGGTTTTTTTAAACTACTAATTGAAAGTTTTAGATTTCCTGCCAATCCCTGAGACACCACGTCTTTTATCCCCTTTGGTGTCTAAGAAAGGGCCCATACCTTAGCATATGGACCTACATGGTTAGTTCCCTAGACTTAAGTCTCTCAGTACAAATTCAAAACTCTCAGAATAATCCCAACAGTTTGAGATTGCTTTGGTTCTACTGTATTACAACAAGAGAAAGGCTATAGAAAATATATCTATGCAGGTTTTTACAGCCAGCAGCAGTCCAATGATGATGAACCCGTAGACCGATCAGTTAAATTGTAGCCCTGCTACCCCTGTTGTAGCCTATTAGCCTGGAAGTTCATCACCATTATATAGAAAATACTTGAAAGGGTGGCTTTTCCTTTCAGGAATGAATAAAAAGCTTGTCTTTATTCAACTTGTATTGCTCAGTGGGAACTCCTATGCAAGCTCTAGTCACAAATCTGTTACTTTAAAAACAGATTTTGGTCTTACATTTTAGGCAATTGTACTTTATTAAGTTGCTAGTACTGGCTTACACCAACCCCATTCTCTATGGCAAAAAGCAGTCCAAGTGGTGGATGAAGAACATTTCAAACCTGCGAAAAGTACAGATAGTCCTCAACATGCAACTATTTGTTTAGTGATTGTTTGAAGTTACAGTACAACAGCACTGAAAAGGGTAACTTATGACCATTTTCAACACTTACAACTGTTGCAGCATCCCCTTCGTCACACTGTCAAAATTCGGATGCTTGGCAACTGGCATGTATTTCAGACAGTTGCAGTGTCCTAAGGTCATATGATCACCTTCTGCAACCTTCTGACAAGCAAAGTCCATGGGGAAGCCAGATTCACTTAACAACCATGTTACTAACTTAACAACTGCAGTGATTCACTTAACAACTGTGGCAAGAATGATAAAAAAATGGGTCAAAATTCACTTAACCGTCTTGCTTAGCAATAGGAATTTTGAGCTCAATTGTAATCATAAGTTGAGGACTACCTGTACAGGAATGCCTACATATCAACCAATGAGACAACTGAAGGGACCTCAGTGGGAAAGATAAGCCAACAATTCCAAAGTTATCTCTACCATCTGTTACACTACATGGAAAGTAGAACAATGCTGAAATGGACAATGCAGGGAGCCCCAAACCCTGCGGAATGGCTTACCACATTGACTCCATAATGAATGTGTGCCAAGGTGATGAAAATGGTGATTAAATAGAGGAATTTTGTTTCCTGTTCTGGTACCAAATCTGACATCACTACAAGGATAACAAGCGCAAGTGGAAGAAGCAGCCAGTTCAATGGCTGACATCGAGTGCTGCTCATCTGACTGACGATCAATCGACACTGGAAGAAAGGGCAAAACATCAAAAGGAAGTTAGAAGGAGAAAAAGGAAATCTGAGTTTAGTTTTCCTACCAATATAGGCTAGTTGAGAATTCTCAGAATTACAGTCTGAACGTCCCTGAAGGGCAGGAAAACGGGCTGACTGTTTCAGTCATCCCAACACCTGTGTTCCTCTTAGAATAATCCACTGCTCCAGTAGTAAATCATTTGGCGAATGTAAAGGATGCTGAGAATATTCACACGGTCTTGACTGAGCATTTGGGCTAATTCAATTTACAATTGTCCACCATTTTGATTACTATCTAAATATAAGGAACTGCAAATACCCTGATTCCTTCTAACATGAAATGTGCTCTCTTTGTACACAACAAAATCTATAACTTGCTAAAGAGACTTGCAATTATACTGGGTTCTATACTGGTTGGTTTTGGCTTCCTTACATGCCCTTTATCTTTCCCACCATGCTGGTTGGAGGAATTCTAGGAGTTGAAGTCCACCTATTTGAAAGTTGCTGAGGTTGAGAAACACTGTTCCGGAACGTAAGAGAATCAGGCATCTGGAAGAGGCCATTTTTAGACTCTCACATCCAAACTCATGCCCTGCCTCCACTGACGGCTATCCAGGGGAAATTGGGGAGTTGACATCTACACATCTTAAAGTTGCCAGGTTTGGAAAACTCTTGAGCTAGACCGTGCTTCAACATTTTCCATTGGCTTTCTAAATAATTGATTCCATCACTCTTGCTGATAAGAATTAACTGTTAAAAGTAGTTTTTAATAGTATTTGACCAGAATCTCTTTTTCCTGCATTGTAAATCCACTAAACTTTATAGTCTCTATCCTGACAAAATACAGAACCTGTTGTGGTCTTTGGGGCATTATCCTTTTAGATCAGTGTGCAACAAGTACATCTCAAGGTATACATGTGGCCTCTTAGCTTTCTTTTAGAAGCCTCCAGACTGGGAGGGGCCAAATATTTAGGCATTTTTAATTTTTTAAGGCACCCATTTAATCCCTACCCAAAAACTTGGTTTTGGCTCTGCCTAATTCTGGAGAGCAACCTCAATGTCTTGTAGTAAACCACATATGGTTCTCAGATCAATGGAAATTGCCCACCCATTATAGGTTCCTGAGAATTTCTATCTTATTCAGCCCCCTGCTTCCTCTTGTTAAGGTGGTGTTGGAATGTAGCCAGGCAGTCATGTCAGCTAGAAATTGTGGGAGTTGTAATGAGAGAGAGAGAGAAAGAGAGGAGTAAGAGAAAAGAGAGAGAGAGAGAGGAGAGAGAAAGAGAAAGAGAGGAGAAAGAGAAAAGAGAGAGGAGAAAGAGAGAGAGAGAGAAAGAGAGAGAGAGAGAGAGAGAGAGAGAGAGAGAGAGAGAGAGAGAGAGAGAGAGAGAGAGAGAGAGAGAGAGAGAAGGAGATAGGAGAGAGAGAGAGAGCGTGACAAAGAGAGAGGAGAGAGAGAGAGAAGAGAGACTAAAAGGATGGCTGGTTTCGGAAGGCTGGCTCAGACAAATGAACTACTAATCAAAGCAACTGTCTTCTTCCTGACCCCTGAACCTTTTGGAAGCCTGACTTTGAAGCAGAAAGGATGACACGTACAGAGATATTTGCGAAGGCGGTCCCAACCATGAAATAGAAGAGGCGTGGATGGGTCTCCAGGATATCTGTCGGTGACTGGAAGATCCAAATGGTGCACAAAATGAAAAGGAGGACTGGCGAGAGGAAAGGCAGCATGGCTTCATAGAAGGAGTGGTGCTTCAGGGTGCTGTTGGCATAGGCTCTGAAGGACAGGAGGTAGCAAACAAGGGCTTGGTGAATGAGTGGGCCAAAAGCAAGGTCATTTGGCAGAGGGAGCCTGGCACTGCAGTCAGAAATGGAGTGCCTGGTATCTCCATGCCCCTTCTGAACTTGAAAAGCAAAGGGAGAGTGGATGTTTGCCCAATACACTTTGCTTTTTCAATACTATCTCTGCATGGTACAGATGCTACCCCTTGACAATGCAAAACACTTACTTGTAGTAATTGATCAAGCTCATGGGAACAGTCACAGTAAGCGCACAGCCTAAAAAGGAAAATATAGAACCAATTTACTTTTCCAACAAATCTGTCTTTCACCTTCAGATAAAAGCAGGACCCAACCAAATCTATCTTGATTATTTCCTATTTTGGAAGTCATGCATACTGTTATACATCAAAGCAGCATTTAGACTGTTAAATCACAATCAAGCAAATCTTATACTCCATGTAATGTTTGAACTGGGCAAATAAATCAGTAGATATCACAAATAATTTTATATAGAATAGAATAACAGAGTTGGAAGGGACCTTGGAGGTCTTCTAGTCCAACCCCCTTGCTTAGGCAGGAAACCTTATACCATTTCAGACAAATGGTTGTCCAATCTCTTCTTAAAAACCTTCAGAGTTGGAGCATTCAACATATGCTCCTTAAAAAACTGGAACATGAGTCATAACATGAGTCATATCAACAATTAATGCACTCAGGCCTAATATTTACAATCTCATTAACATGATTATTTGCTAGTTTTCAAAAGGAGCTATCGTTCCAGGCAAGGAATTAGCAACTTGTAGCCTGGAAGTCATTCCATCTCCTCCCCCAAGACCTCCAAAACTGCATCAATGAAATTCAAGTCATACTGATCAACTATGGTATATAATTTTTAGATTTTGAATGGGAACAGCAATAAAATAGATGTAATAAACCTCCAATAATCTTAATGCTTACCTCCCCCAATCTCAAAAAGGGGAAAGGTCAAACCTGTCCCCCTGTGGAAACATCACAACACAACTCCATCCACTCTGGCCTCTCATGACTATAATTTTTAAAAAAGCAGTCTCTGATGCATAAACAATGTATGTGCCTACTCAACCTCATATTTGTTTTATACTAGCTCATGTAATGTTGCAAATAATTATAAATACTCAATGCAAGAAAGAGTGGCTATTAGGATTATATTTATAATACACAAGGAGAAATCTGTATCTGATTGTAAATTGCTCAGGATCAAGAAAATTATTTTCAAACACTTGGCTTAATATTTTTATCATTTTGCATATGTTTTCATGCATTTTCATATCTTATCAGGAAGCAGTATCTGGGGCTAATTGTCTTGCCTTAAGAAGCTAACTTGAATTATGCATGGTTAATACTTAAATGGGAGACAACTATGGTATCAAACCTATAATTTGGATTCTAGAATAAGGAGAAACCACTTCTGTATTGCTGCCAAGAAAGTTAATCTCTATAGTTTTGATATTTATTCATTTATTTTAGAATTAAACTAGATACTTGGGTTAGTGTAGAATATTGTCCCAAAAATACTTTTCCAAAAGGCATGTAGATCACATTGACATGTATCTGTACAGATATGTAGATCACATTCTTTTGAAGTATCTGAAATATGTTGAAACAGATCTATATTTTTGCTTATATTAAAGGAATTAAAGCACCTTAAAGGTAACTTAACATGGTAAATTACCATGATGGTCTAGGGAGATTGGGATGAAAGGGAGGGGCAAAATTTCAACTGCAATTCTGTAACTTGAAATCCAAGGCAGGAGGTATTTTGAAAGTTTTTAGAAAAGCACAACTACCTTTGAGATAAAGGTGAATCACCAAGCAGCCCCTAGTTAGAAAGTAACCAATTCAGAAACAACTGGAATAATTAACTAAAGTTCTGTGCACTTTGTGCTCTACAATATATGATATGATATCTACAATATGTGATTTGCCTACGTTTGCCAGAAGAGGGCTGCAAGGTTATACTAGGAATATGCTGGATTAGGTTACAGATTTGTGCAAGCTTTAATGTATGTTTCCTAGTGCACAGAAGAAAATGAAAAAAAAATAGCAAAGATCCAAATATGAAGAAAAACCATATTCCTCTCTTGCCTCAGAATTTCCTGAATTATTGAGCTGGTGAATAGGAAATTCCTTGGTTTAGATATATATTGGATCAGAAGAATGTGGTGAATATGCCATACATATTCCAATTTATTCACACTCATTCTCCAAATACTTCCCTCAAAGTCAGTATTTAGACAATTATTATTATTTTTGTTATGTTCCAACAAGTCAGTGTTGATTCCTAGTGACCATATGGATAGGTTTTCTCCATGACAATCTGTTTCTACAGTTGGTCTTCCAAAAGTGCATTCATTGCCTCTGTGACTGAGTACATTCACTTTGTTGCAGATCATCCTCTTCTCGTTTATTTATTTGCTGCCCATCTCAATGTGAGTCAACTCTGGGCAGGTTACAACAATAAAAGCAATAAAACCATACAAATGCTACAATGATGTTATCTGACGTCTCTTTCCTTTCCCCTTTCCAGCTTTAGAATCTTCTCCAGAGAACTAGGTCTTTGCATTATATGTTTGAACTTAAGATAATTTAAACCTGGTCATTTGTGCCTTGAGTGAGAACTCTGGGTTGATTTGTTCGATAATTCACTTGTTTATTTTCTCAGCTGTCCAAAGTATTCTCAGGAGTCTTCTCCAACACTAAGTTCAGAAGTCTCAATACCGTAACTTCCTATCCTACTTTTTCAGAATACAGCTTTCACTATCATGGAGTGTGTCATAGGAAATACCATTGTTTACACAATTCTTATCTTTCGTAGGTATATCTTTTGCAAGGCCTTCATGGCTGCTCTACCATGTGCTAATCTGCAGCATATTTCTTGAGTGCTCATTCCTTCAGTTTTGATGGTTGATCCTAAAAGGCAGAAACTATCTTCCACTTTGATAATTCATTATCAATTCTAATGCTTTACTTTTACATTAACTTAATTATCTTGTTATATACAACTCATCTGCTGCAATGCAGACAGACTGAAATGTGGTCACAGTTTTAGGCTTTCAACAAAAATATCATCTCGTATGAGATATTCTGGGACAAATAACTACTCAGTGTAGTCCCCATCTCATAAGAAAATTCAGCATAAATGACAAACATTTTCTTGATAAAGACATACTAGGTTTTGGTGCAAAACAGCTCGAAAGATACAAGTTTCTACAAGATTCCTCTTACCAATTATCATAGCAACAAACAGATCCTTATATAAAAAATGAAACAGGAAAGGGTTGTACCAGGCCTCCACTCCTATGATGGATGTCACTATGTATACTATTGAAATGGTCTGGAAAAGAAGACAGAATTACAGATCATTATAATAATCATCTATCCAGCATTTCCAAAATTGTCTAGAGATCAGAAAACTCTTTTATGTGTTATAATGTAACATGAACGTTGTTGATGGAAATATCTAAAAGTTTTTTCTTCATGCCCTGTGCCTGCTACAACTGCATGTCCAAGGGTTAGCAACTGGTGCAAAGAGCAGAGCTAACTTTTCTTACCATTGTTAAAAGGGAAGGAGCTACAAACCAAGGCAACCTCTCCCAAACTAAGCATCCCATAGGTGTCTGCATTTCCATACCTATTTTACTGAGAATGCTGAAAGCTGGTATCTGGAAGGTGTGCAAAATTGGAAGCTGGCCCAGAAAATACCCCAAAGGTTTTTAAGCTGCTGATTGCAAATTATATCTTGAGAGTATGATCAAGGCACTTTTATGAAATAGTACCCACAAAACTTGCCCATTCACAAAATGATTCGCATGGGGGATATGAACAATCAGTGAGCATCAATATACCAGAAAACTCTGAGGACATGCTGAAGGAACTTAGGGTACGCAATCTGGACAAAAGACAATTAAGGAGCGACATAGTATCAGTGTTTGGGTACATAAAAGAATGCCATAGGGAAGAGGATCAGGAAAGATTTTCTTTTCCCAAAGAAATTAAAAGCACAAATAAAGATTTAAATTATAGCTACCTAGACTTCATTTAAATAAGAGAAAATTGTCCTGACAGTATGATCTCTATAAGCCAGTAGTCTACCTATAAAGGCTATGAATTTTTAAGAAGTGGGAGAGCCATCTATCAAGGATGATTTTGCTGTAGACTGCAGAGAGAGTTGGGCAAGATGATCCTCATAGTCCTTTTTCATCATTTGCATTTTATAGGAGGATGGTGTACTGCGGGTATCCAGAGACCAGTAAATTTTATGGAAAGGGAAGGGAAAGTTGGACTGCCCCAATAGTCTTTTTTTAAAAAAAAATAAAAATCTGGGAACAAATTCTATAGGCTAACAGCATAAGTTTAATATCCTGAAAGATATATACAAACTGACTAATTCAGCTGAATCCTGAAATCACACACAGAAAGGAGGACAGGCAAAAACTTTTCATCCAAAATTCTCCATTTACAGTTACGAGATTTTGGATTTTTGTTAATAGGTTTCAAATGTAATTTCTCTTCCTAAATTTATGAGTGAGACTGTATATGGAGGATACGGAATCAGATTTTAGTGTGGGGGAAAAAAATCAAGGTCCCCTCTGCTCATCCATGCAAGTATTTAAGTCCAAGTCAATAAAACCTGTAGGCAGCAAACGTAAGAGGGCAAAGGGCTCTTTTAAGGTTCCAACGTGGTAAGTGATTGTTCAGAAAGTGTTCAGTGGGGCATCCCAGAAGAGTGGAAAGAAAGTGCCTGCCCACCAACATTCGGGAGGAGTGGACAACTAACACCAATGAAAACAACTATACTTGGTAGCTGTTTTTCAAACAAAGCTACTTTTACCAAGTTCTATGGCAGGGCTTTTCAACCTTTTCACCCATTGTACCACTTTTAGGATATGGCAACATCCGAGTACCACCAGACGCCTAGCAAGGTGTCAAAAACTTGATGAACAAAAAATAAAAAGGAAAAAAGTGATAAAGTACAGGTAGTCCTCGACTTACAACAGTTCGCTTAGTGACTGTTCGAAGTTACAATGGCACTGAAAAAAGTGCCCCCAAGGCACAGTCGAGCAAGCCACCTGCCGGCCGGGCCGGCCACGCTCTTCCTCCTGTCCGAGGTTTTCATTGTTGTGAGCATTTCTGTTGGGGATTGGCAGCAGGGGTGGGGTGGGGGATGTTTGGTTTTTATTCCCCCCATCTGCTGGGTGGTTGCAGCAGGTTTTGGCCATTTCACAAGACCCTGGGACACTGTGACCGTCATAAATATGAATCAGTTGCCAAGAATCTGAATGTAAATCACAAGAGCCTGGAGATGCTGCAACATTTCAGCTGATCAGCGCTTCTAGACCCGAGACGTCTTCGCGGTCCTAGTCACAGCTTGAGGTCGACCTCGGACCGCGACTAGGACCGCGAAGGTGACTCGGGGCTGTCGGGGCTTCTTCGCGGCTAGTCGACCTTTCGTCGTGACTAGGACCACGAAGGTGACTCGGGACGTCGAGGTCGGTAGAGAGCGAGTCCGAACACGCCACGACGGTGACCAAGTACTCATTCCCCTCCCCCACTACCACTTTTCTAGGATGGTCGCGTACCACCTGCCAGGTGCCAATGTACCACAGGTGGTACCCGTACCACTGGTTGAAAAGCCCTGTTCTATGGCATTCATGCCTGCCAATAAATGCACTCAATTTCATCCACTGTGTTGCTGGGTTTGTCTATGAAACATGCAGATGGAGAGAAACACATGCTTTGATTCTTAAAATTATATGTCTCAAGAGACATGACTTTAGAGAAGAGATACTTTCCATTCACAAAGCTAAGGCCTTATCCAAAACATCTATCCCTTAGATCAGGGCTTTTCAACCAGTGGTATGTGTACCACCTGTGGTACATTGGCACCTGGCAGGTGGTACGCGACCATCCTAGAAAAGTGGTAGTGGGGGAGGGGAATGAGCTGAACCGGTGGCAGAACCGCACAAGCCTGAGCGAGAGATGGCTGGAGCTGCAGGGCTGTCAGGGCTCTGGCTTATAGAGATCATACTGTCAGGACAATTTTCTCTTATTTAAATGAAGTCTAGGTAGCTATAATTTAAATCTTTATTTGTGCTTTTAATTTCTTTGGGGGGAAAAATCTTTCCTGATCCTCTTCCCTATGGCATTCTTTTATGTACCCAAACACTGATACTATGTCGCTCCTTAATTGTCTTGGAGAAGATGGATAGATTATATTCAGAATAAATATGGGACTAAAAAGTTTCATTTGGGTTATGAGTAAACTCTAGAGTATTTAATAATAATTATCAAATAAAATTACCTTAAAAACAATCAAAATTAATATACTATAATAATAATAAAAATTATAATCATAACATAACAAATTATAAATCCAATACTTATACAAATAATAACACAAATTAAAATTAAACAAATTTAAACACAATTTCTCCTCAATTTCGCGTAATACCTGAACCAATAAAATTATCAACCATAATGTTAGATAGATTTTGATTATTATATTTGTAACCCTTTGTTCAGCTCTGGGAAGTGGGGGAGGGGGAGGGTGGGGTTTTGGGGTGGGTATGGGGGTTTATACTGTAATCTTCATAAAACTTTTAATAAAAATAAAAAAATAAAAAACCAAACATCCCCCACCCCACCCCCGCTGCCAATCCCCAACAGAAATGCTCACAACAATGAAAACCTCGGACAGGAGGAAGAGCGTGGCTGGCCTGGCCGGCAGGTGTCTTGCTCGGCTGTGGCTTGGGGGGCACTTTTTTCAGTGCCATTGTAACTTCGAACAGTCACTAGGCGAACTGTTGTAAGTCGATGACTACCTGTACTTTATCACTTTTTTCCTTTTTATTTTTTGGTCATCATGTTTTTGACACCTTGCTAGGCGTCTGGTGGTACTCGGATGTTGCCATATCCTAAAAGTGGTACAATGGGTGAAAAGGTTGAAAAGCCCTGCCTTAAGATTAATTTTTCAAAGTATTTAAAATGTGCATCTGCTTCTTGCTTTATTAAGGGCTCAATTTAGAAGCTAGTCAAAAGTGTCATCTTCATCTTTTTTTAAGTACCTGGGAATCATTTTTTATTTTTTTTTGCAGTTCATGCCTTGGTAGGCCAAATGAATCAATGCAGAAATTTCTTATACAGACCAATTTCATTATGCCCAAATAGAATTGCTTTAATGGCTGTGTCATTTCTCAATGTTTACATTCAACTGAGTTCAAGTGAGTTATTCAAGGCCAATTGATTACTGAGTATAGCAGTAAACAGTAATCAGGATACCAGTTTGCTAAATTTCATCTCTAAATAGTAGTTGCTCCACAGTCCTAGCCTCACTTTCATAACTACAGTTTCTCTCTAGTTTCATAACTACAGTTTCTCAGGCCTGAAAGTCTGCATAAATACTATGGCCATTATACATCTTTGCAATGAATGGAAACTGATTAAAAAAGATATCCTTCCTTTAGACCAGGGGTAGTCAACCTTGGCTCTTTTATGACTCGTGGACTTCAATTCCCAGCTAAGCTGGCTCAGGAATTCTGGGAATTGAAGTCCACAAGTCATAAAAGAGCCAAGGTTGACTACCTCTGCTTTAGACTTTGCCACTTGTGGAAACCACCAGTTAGTTTTGTTTGCAAACCGTAAGAATGGTGGCTCCGATAAATGTTTTGATTCAAGACAACTTTTTAGAGGGGATTTTTTTTTGTAACCTATACTAGTCTGTCACAGGGAAATCTGACTGCATTAGTATGCCCTTGAACTGAGTGGTAAATTACACACACAAGCATATCTAAAGCTCTCCATTGCTTTTAAGTTAAATTAGGGGTCTTAAAATATAGGTTATAGCCCGCTCAGGGAATAACTATCATTCCAAAATATGCGTGGAACAAAAAATTAGAATGGTTGTCTCAAAAATAAAAATTCATATTTCAGGAATTATGTAATACTGAACAAGCTTCTACTTTCTATTTAAACTAATGTTTAAATAGGATTAATTCCAATATAATTTTATTTTATAAAGCTGTAGGGCTCTACTGTTGATTCTATGCACATACAAACATAATTAATTTAAATAATTTTCATTACTCATAGTGGTGTATTTATTGCTCACCCAACTCTAATCTGAGTGAAATCAAGAGAGATGGGGGGGGGAGAGAGATTGTGGTGTCACATAATCTCATGTATTGTTTCAGAAGGTCGTGGCACCAAAAGGTTTGAAAACTCCAGGGTTAAACATTTCTACATCTTATTTCAAGCCTTCTAAAGAAATCTCACATAAAATAAATGGGGCTTTAACCTGAAAGTGGTAATAATAAGCAAGTGAAGCAAATCTAAACCCCAGAGAATCAAAATAAGCCGGATGGCAATCTAGAATGAGAAGAAAAAAATGGCTGCAGCCATGCTCATTGTAGCTGTCGGATCCATGACACCAGATCTCTGACCACTATTAAGGTAACCCCTGGAAATGATTGTGGCAAAAGGCTGGTTGACTTACCACCTGGCTGATATCGTAGCCCCAAGGCAAGAAGAGAATCCCTGTATTATACTTCTCCCAATGGGAAAGGATGAATGAGGACAAAACTACCCAGAGGAGCAGGTAGAGGACAAAAACGCTGACACCATTGGATCCTCGGCCAAAAGTGGAGTACACGGTCACCACAAAAAACATGCAAGCCCAGCTGTCCAGGCCATGGTCAAAGAGTTCCCCAAGTGGGGAGCTGGATTGGGTGCGACGTGCCTGTTTGCCATCCACACCATCTGAGGAGAGAGATGTCATAGAAAGAGAAGGTTAACTGATAGCTTTCATTTCTATTGAGTGGCTGGGATTAAAATTAGAAGGAAAATACAGTAAGGAAAGAAATCAAAGCAAAAACATTTAAGAACTAAGCTGGGTGAGGCTCTGGCAATTCATAAACCAAGGCCCATTTACTAGTGCCATTGTTGTTAAAAACAGCGGAAAGTGCATGCGATTATATGAGGCAGAAAAAAAAAGATTTGGTTTCAGATTGTGGTTAACTGAATCCCTAAAACACTATCCCTTTTCTGCTGTAAATCCTACTGCTTTCCTAAAATTGCTACAGATCCATAACTGCTCTTTTACAGGACTCTCAAGGCCTTATGTCACTGCATTCATCTTTAAATATTCCCGCTACATTTTTTCCTATGCACATATTACTTGCACTTTACTAGTAGATACTCTTATTTCCTTTTGTAAAAGCTGATCAAAAGAAAACTAATTACTTTAGAGCAAATTGCTTGTGGCTTTGGGCTTGCATCTTCCAGAGTCTCCTTTCTTGCCCCTGATAAAACTAAAATGAAGAAGCAACAGCTATTTCAGAAATATGAATGTGCAACAAAGAACAGAGCAGCTTCTCTATCCCTCCTCCTCTTTGGGAAAAACATCCTCTGATATTTCAGCCACAAGCATTAATGGTAAGAGGCATAATATACAATCTGCTTGCATATGTATTTTGCACTAGACCTGTAGGTGTAATAATAAGCAGCTGTTTTATTCAGGGAATTTGGTCTCAATAATATTAATGCTCGATAATATATTGCTGATTGTATAAATACAGTGTGCAGAAAATTAACAGATCTTACCTAGAGTATAAGCCGCAAAATTGAGAAGACCTACTAGGACCCACACTTTGTTTGGAACATGCTTTTGTTCTGGTGCTGCAGGAAAGACAAGTAATTCTGAGTCATTATTTTCCCTAGGAAAACATTTTTTCAAACAAGAAGAGTACATTTTAGTCATTAAAATCAGGTTCATTCTATTGCAGGCTTAACCAACCTGGAACTCTTCTAATGTTTCGGGACAATAATAAGTCACGGCAGCTGGTTAGTAGCTGGTTGGTCTTGCCTGACCTCAAAAAAGCCTGCGCGAGAGACTACCAGGAAATACTAGGACTGTAAATTAGAACGAGAAGTTAAAAAAAAATCCCAGAAGGCGGCAATGGCAAAGAGACACTATGATGTGGAAAACCTATTTAACATCATTACTTGCTTGTATCAGCAAACCTTTACTTACCATTGAATTCATAGCAACTACCACCTAATTGGGAATGGCACTCTTACTGCCAATACTATTTTATAGTGTAAAATAGTATTTTATTTATTCATTCATCACATTTCTACACCGCCCACTATTTGTGACTCTGGGCGGCTGACAATAAATTTAAACTACAATTACAAGTTGAAATAATACGCAGATAAAACTACAGCAGCAAGACCAGTTAATCTGAAAGAAAGGTATTAGAATGAGTGAGCTCCAAAGCACTGAGGCTGTACTGGAAAATTAAACGCTTCAATAATGGGATTAGCTGTGCTTCTTACTGAATTATGCCCCCTGCCCCCACCAAATCAAAACGTCTTGAGAAAATCTATCCTTCCTGGGACTCTCCTGATGCCTTAGACCAGGGATAGTCAACCTTGGCTCTTTTATGACTCGTGGACTTCAACTCCCAGAATTCCTGAGCCAGCACAGCTGGCTCAGGAATTCTGGGAATTGAAGTCCACGAGTCATAAAAGAGTCAAGGTTGCCTACCCCTGCCTTAGACTGACAATTCCTCACCATTTGGCATAGGGCTAGGACCGATAGGAAATGGAATCAAAATCATCTGGAAAATGCTATATTGCGTTTTTATATTAATAAATAAGGCTATCCTTGCCCTGTGAAAGACATGTAGAGCTTCCTTTCAAAAAGGAGTGCGTGTGGCCAGAAGAAGAATGAGATTTCATTTCATTTCCATTTAATTAGATGTAGTTATTAATCTTTGGGTGTACATTACATTCTGTGAATTCCTGCATACAAATCTTGGGGGGAAGGCTGCATTCAATCCAGGGAACTCAAGTTATGTACTATTGCTCTAAAGGTTATAACCCTTCTCGATACTTAGGGAAACGAAACAGCATTTCAGCTACAATAAAATATCATGGTTTTAATTTTTCTCTCAGGTGTGAATTTCAGTACTAACAAATACAAAGCTTGGGTTTCCATCAAAATTGTATTCATTATTAAGTGAGACATGCTTATTCAGAAAGGGCTGATTCTTAAAAATCATTTGAACAGAAAGGACCCAAGATAATAGCACCTAGACCAGGGGTCGGCAACCTTAAACACTCAAAGAGCCACTTGGACCCTTTCTCAAAGAAAAGAAAACACTGGGAGCCACAAAACCCTTTTGACATCTAAAATGAAGATAACACTGCATATATCCTTTTTTTACCTTTATGCTATGTATAAAAAAACTATACTGTGTTGCATTTATGAAATCAATGAACTGCTACAAAGAAAACACATTTTTATGCAGGAGAAAGGGGGGGGGGAACCTTTCTCCTTCATCCCAACAGGTGAAAACAATTTTAGTAGCTTATCTACCACCTTTAAATACAGCATCATCTCTTAATTAAAAAAATCAAAGTATTTCATTAAACGTTCTTTACTAAAAGTCCAGTAAGGACAACATATATTCATATTCTCTCTCCCTCTCTCTCTCTCTCTCTCCCTCTCTCTTTCCTCTCCTTCTCTCTCCCTCTTTCCTCCCTCTCCCTTCCTCCCTCTCTTTCCTCTCCCTCTCTCTCTCTTTTCCGGGATAACTCGGGGGGGGTCACCTCTCTTGGCGTCCATCGCTCCCCTGAGGCCAGTTCACATCTGCCACAATCCAAATTCCCTGCGGGGGGAGGAAGCAGAACCCAAAGCTCTTTTCTTGCTCTCTCTTCCTGGTTGAGTCGGGGGCTCCATCCGAGGACACGGCTGGGCTCTGTGGACCCCCTTGGCGGGGCGTGGGTTGACTCTCCAGCTCTGGCTAGTGAGCGGCACAGCCAGCCCCCCTTGGAGGACCCCCAAAGCTGCTCAGCCGGGCTCCCTTTAGAGCAAAGACCTGGAGCTGAGCAGAATCAGGAAGAGACACCCCAGGGTCTTACAGAAGATCCAATTCCCTGCCCTGCCGATCTGGGGACCCCACCGCAGCCCCCCTGCAAAACTCAGGGGAGAAGCCCAGCACTGGGCTGTGGGGGGAGCCGGGCTCCCAGGACCCCCTGCCCCAAGGAGAGGACCCCCCCCAACATGCGTCGATCCTTCCAGGTGGACCTTCTTCCCTCTGGCTCTGGGGCTCCTACAGTGCCGGCTTCGTCGCCCCTCAGCCCCAAGCCAGGCTCCCCAGGAAGCCGTGGGAGCCTGGCAGGTGTTGTGGAGATGGGTTGGGGAGGGGTCCTTCCGCTCCAATTGGGTCCCCCCTCTTTTCAGAAACAGTGCCTGAAAGGAAGGACGGAGCAAGCTTCCCCCACGGGGATCCGGCGCTTGTTGCTTACCTCCCTTTCCCGGGCAGGGGTCCCTTGAGAGAGCCGCCGCCGCCGCCCCCTCCCCTCCCATCTCCCGGTAGGCTTCAGGGGAAGCGCAGGACTTCGGGGGCAACTCCGAAGGGAGCCCCTGACCCTAAAGGGGGCAGACCCCTTTCCTGGGGCCGCGGCTTGTGGGAGGGCTGGCCTGCTTAGCAGAGGCTCCGGCAGGCTGCTCCCAGGGGGGATCCCGGGGCTGCCTTGTGCAGCTCCCCGGCCACGTGTGCCTTGGATGGGGCCAGCACAGGAAAGGGACTTCCTGGCTGCGCTTCTCCCAGGGGGTGGGGCGCTTGGGCGCAGGGCCAAGCAGGAGCCCCGTGAGGGGGCAAGTCCGCATGAGAGAGAGAGAGAGAGAGAGAGAGAGAGAGTGGGGGGGGGGAAGGGAAGCGCAAGTGCCTTTCTCTGTCTCTGTAAATGGCGGAGGAGAACTGGAGCCTGAAGCCGCAGGAGAAGGCTGAAAGAACCGTATGCAGCTCCAGAGCCACAGGTTGCCGACCCGTGACCTAGACTTATATATTACTCCATAGTGTTTTACAGCCTTCTCTAACCGGTTTATAGAGTCAGCATATTGCCCCCAACAATCTGAATTCTCATTTTACCAACCTTGGAAGGATGGAAGGATGGAAGGCTGAGTCAACCTTGAGCTGGTCAGGATTGAACTCTTGGCAGTGGGCAGAATTAGCCTGTAATACTGCATTCTAACCATTGTGTCATCACAGCTACTACTACTATAATTACTATAATTACTTGTTATAACACAACTTTGACATAATCTGAGGTAATAAATTGTATATCAGTTAGAAGCAAAACATCCAGCTGACCTTGAAAAGTTAGTAGGATGGTACTTTTTACCAGGTAATTCTGGGCTCACAGCCTAGATTGTAAAGTCCAAAAATATAAACACAGGAAGAAGGCAATGACAACTACCGTATTTATCGGCGTATAACACGCACTTTTTCCCCCTGAAAATAGGGGGCAAATGATGTGTGCGTGTTATACGCCGATATACGGCCAGCCCGGGTAAATTCGGCCATATTCTTCAATACGGGCCGGCCCCAGCAGTTCCCCTCTCCTCTTTGTGTGTGTGTGTGTGTTTGTCTCTCTCTCTCTCAATTCTCCC